CGTCTGGTGAGATGACAGGGTAGGTGAGGGGGGCGGCTTGCGAGGGGTTAGGGGCGACATGTGTGGAAGGGGCTGCACGACAGGAGACGTGTCAGCTGGGCAGAGCGAAGGGCGGGCGGAAGCAGGACCGGTGAAGGCAGGTGTCGAGCTTGCAGAAGAGGTTCTAGGGATAAGAGTCGGACACGTATGGTCCTCAGGTACCAAGAGATAGCCAAGCCTGGTACAGGAAGACGGGTCGAGGTCACCAGAAAAGCCCGACAACCCAGAAAGGGGGGAGGGTTCACGGTCCACTATTACCTTCTTACCGGGTCGGTGAGGAGAGGTGACGATTGGAATAGAGGGGAACGTACGAGGTTCGACAACCCCGCCGCCATCGGGCTTAGAGCCTGGCAAGAAAGGTACCGCTGCTAACTGCAATGTTGGCGGAAGGTCATTTCAGTGTCCAGAGACAGTCGAGCGATCGCCAGGTGGTTGCTAGGTGGTAGGCTGTGGTGGTTTGGGAGGATTGCGTCGGTTGCGCTCCCTGGGCGAAGCGAGGCTGTGAGGGGGGCTGCCGACGGCACCACCGATTGTGGCCAGATTTCCTCGAGACGTTTTCCAGATTCCTCGAGACGTTTTCCAGCGGGAGGAAGAGGAGCTCTTGGCCTGAGGAGGATCCGAATGGTTAAAGACGTTGGCTGAGGGTGGAGAGGCCGCCGATCACGAGAGCGAGATCGGGAATTAGAGGTCTTCGACTTCAAGCCAAATGCTGGGTGGGATGAGATTGGTAGAACTCCAAGAGGAGTCGAATGGACCTGAGAGGAAGCGTTTTTATTGATTTCCATTGGAGAGATTTCCACAAGCTTCAGCCACTCTCCTAAAGGTGGACGGTGGCCACGCATGAAGTGGTAAGTAGTCCATGGTGAGTCAGATCCTTTGCTTCCTAAAGGACCCTTCCTTGGTGGATCACGCACAAAGGTGGAGGGTGGCCCCTTTGAAAGTTGTCGAGATGGGTTCCTGTGGAATATGGCGAGCGTGTTCTTGTGAAGGGAAGGGGAAGAGGAAGTCACCACTAGATAGGCGTCTGCAAGTGAGATTAGGGTCCTTTCAGAGGCGTTGGGCCCATTTTTCGATACCTCTAACATCGTCTTGTCTGGGTTGGAAGCTACCCACCATAGAGGCAAGAAATTTTGATTTGAGCAGGGTAGACTCCTCTGAGGGTGTGGATATGCGGAAGGGGCGAAACGAAGAAGGGGTGTCTGGGGGGTGGGGAGGCGGAGACCCCATTTGAACCAGCAGGTGAGGCAGGGAAAACAAGAGTTATTTTTGCAGCGGCTACCACTTGCGAGGAGGAAGCGGAAACATGGGTTGTGTTTGCAGAGGCGACCACTTGTGAGGAGGAAGACTGCAGAACGTGCTTAACCTTCGAATTAAAGAACTTGGATCCCCTCGTGGGAGAGGAGAGAAGTGTGGGGGGTGGGGGAGGGGCGGTAGGGGCTGGGATAAAGATTGTAGATGTGGTTCCAGCTGAGGGCGGGAAGTAGACGACGACGCCTTCTCCTCATTGATAGAGCAAAATCCTATTTTAATATTTTTTAAAATAATTGATATTCCAAAATACAAACCTCTGAAATAGCTACTTACCCAAAAAAAAATGAAATACTTTTCTTTTTAACCACCTGAAACTCCCTAGAGCACTTCAAGCAAGGCTGCCTCACAGACTAAATGCCGCCTAGTCCTTTTCATATATTGCTCACACCAAACAACCATCCATGTTTCTTCTTATCTCACGAGGTCTCAAGCGTCTCTCTCCTCCATCCAAAATTTTAGCGTCCCTTCCCTTTTTTTTTTTTTTTTTTGAGAATGATAATATTGAGTTTCCTCCTACTTATGTCTTCTTCTCCCTCTTTCTCACATTTCTCGCTCTCTTATTAGCACAAATCTTTGAGGACATAAAGTTTACGGTATGTCACTTATCCTTGCTCCTTACCGGGTTATTGAAAGACTTGAATTAATCCATCACCAGTTCCTCTAGTTAGGTAGTAATGAAACAGAAGTTCCACATAGTGAAGTGAGAAGAGGTTTGCAGGCCCAAACTAGAGGGCTTGGGGTTGCTTTAACAAATAAAGCGCTTATGGCTAAGTGCCTTTGATGATTTGGAGTAGAAGGGAGCAGCTTGTGCAGGAGGGTTAACATGGATAAGTATTGTAGCAAGGTGGAAAATTAAACCCCTGGCAAACACTCCAGAATTTGGTGTTCTGTTGTGGCATTTCCTCAGCATCTTTACCTTTTGAGGAGGGGATAGGACAAGTTGATTTTTTGGCATTTGGTGTGGTGCTGACCCATCTGAGACCAGTTTCCTAGATTGGCTGGTTTGTTCGGAATCCTGATGTTTTACTCCATGTGTAATATGGGAGACACTCTGGGAGAATGTTCTTATGCCACGTAATTGATGAATATCTTTCTGATGAAGAGACCAATGGCAAGTGACTTTGGCTTTCTTGAGTAATTCTCATCCTTGGGCACGGGGTGGTTTTGGCTTAGTCAGCATCATGATAAGAGTGGGGTCTTATCATTGAGATCATTTCTTAGTGGTCTTTGCCCCATAGATATATGGACATCCTTGTCTGCCCTGTACCTTTTTATGGCTCTGTTGCCTAATGGTATGGATAACACGTTAAAGGAGATTGTCTTCAGCTTAGGAGGATGCAATGCCCGAATATATGATTCATGTATCGAAGTGCAAAGAGTTTGTGGACCACCACTTCATTCATTGCCTTTTTGCTTGGATTATGTGGACCACATTCTGAGCTTATTTGCGGTACACTTTGTTGCCCCTAAGTTGGCGAGTATGTCTTCAGTTTTTGGAAGCTTTACCCCTTCCTTAGAAGGGAGGAATTCTTTGGATGGTAAGGCCCATCGCCATCCTGGAGCGAGTCTGGCTCATCTGGATTAGAAAGTAAAGATATAATTGGAAGGCAATCAGACACATGGATAGTTGGGGATTGAATGAAGGACATGGTTATCATGAAGGCCTTAAGAGTGCTAGGAGTCCCATGGTTTCTTGACACAGGACCTAGAAAGAAAATGGATGAGGGGTGGTGGGATACCAAGTCCCAGGTAGCCTTATGCATGCCTCGTGGCATGTAGCTCCTTAGGGATCAACCCTCTGAGCAACTCTGGCTTGTTGAAGGTAAAGATTCTAGCATAAAATTATTTATTATTTCATTTTAATATAGAAAAAGTTTATATAAGGTTGCAACCTTAAAATGTAGAATTACAGATGCTCCTCAAAAATCTATCGGAAAAGGTTGTTTTAAAGTTGAAAAACCCTCTAATTGATCTTCTCGACATGGAGAAGATGTATGAATATGAAAAAAAGGAAGATTTTGAGTCTAGAAAGAGTGCATCTTGCAACACATTATCTAGACCGTCCATTTCAAGATTTTCATATATTTGTAGATCTACTTGATTTTAACTATTTTTGAAGTATAAAATTTTATAATTAGATATAAAAATAGATTTTCAGATAATCCTAAAAGGATTTAACACCAAAATTACATGTTATGATAAAATTTGAAGGTGCCCCTTAATTAGATTGTTTAAGGTTGCAACGTTGTAGAAACCACGCCGTATATTAGTTCCCTAAAACTTAGAAAAGATGTGTGAATATAAGGAAATGTAATAAGGGAGATGTTTTAGGAGAAAAGAGCATGTGACTGTAGGGAATTTTGTCCCTCTGTTTATTTTTCTTTGTAAAATTTTAGGCGTTCTTCTCTCATCTAGTTCTCTCCCTCTGTCTCATCTTTCTCTGGGAGACACGTCTTCCAGGCAATCAAAACAGTGGAAAGGCATCTTCCAAGTCTCTTACGAAATTCTATCCAACCAGCAGACACCTATATTCTAGGAGATGCCAGTTCCAGGAGTGGCATCTCCTCTCCCCAGGTTACCCATTACTAGGGAACCAAATGGGGCCTTAGAGACTGGCTCCTGTTATGGTGGAATTATTGTCTAGTCTGCTTCTAGACCATCCTTTAATCACATTTCACGCAAAGCTAATGAGGATGTGGTGTACCAATTCGCTTGTTAGGGAACCTCATTGCTGTCACGTGATTGGTTGACAAATAGCTTGATAAGTTAGTTCCCCTTTCTCCCTTTGCCCACTATCTTGTATACGTCAATGTTTGTCTAAAACCAGGGCAACTTGATTTATACTTGTTCAATATCCAAAAGCTCTATATAATCCCTGGGAATTAATAAGAGTCGAGACTTCCCTCGCATGAATATGTTGCAGGTAGGATCGATTTAGGCACTCAAAACTTCAAAGCAAAACCCTAAACTCATTCAAACAAGAAGTCTTTAAATGCACCTTGGTTCCTATATTTGTGAAAGGTTGAGTTATCCATCTTGACCTGGTCTCATATGGTTAATTTGTGGCCCTTGGCTAGCTCAACATTCTTTAAATTCTAGGGAAAGCTTGTGACACCTATGCCCCAAGAAAAGTTATGCTGTGTTCAAGCATTTCTAGATGGTATACAAAATCCATTTTGCCTAATGTGTTGCCTTGAATATTGTTTCATTTACTTCACAAAGGGCGCGATTCTGAACAAGAAAGGAGACGAGGGTTCAGCTTGTTTGATAACGACGAAGCTTTTCTTGACTCATCTGAATTCTGAGTTTTCCTTTTTAAAACTCAGTGATTAACCTAGTCATGTTGACTGTGAGTCGAATTTTAATGCATTGGATAGGTTTGGAAACATGGTTATATGGGTATGGACTTAAGTCGTGGTATCCTGGTCTCCTGTAATTTACTTGTGCTTTTCTTTACTCAAAAGTTATTATTCATCAAGGGAAAACAAAAGAGATGTTAAGGTATCGCTGAGATCAACATCTAATTTCACAAGATTAACATCTGGAACTTCATTATTGTTTCTTTAAAATTATATGATCCTTGCTGATGTTCTTCACATTGAAGTATAATTAAGCAATACTTATTGGGTATTTTCTTATGCATTTTACAGGAAAGAAACGAGATACCACCGAATTTCAGAAGGGTGCTCACTGCGAAGTTGAGAAGGCTGGTTGCTCAAGAGAAAATTGAGAAGGTGATCAATTGGATCTTTACACTTTTGGATAAAATTTGGTTTGCCATCCTGTTATACTGGTTGCACCAGGGTTTGTCCTTTCCTTAGTGGACTTGCTTGCCTTTTATGTGATGCACCATTCTGTGTCTGTGATTTAATTGGCTTGTTATGTGCCTACTGTATTTTACTTGGGAAGGATGTTTGATGATGCTTTTTGTGAACGTTGACATTCTCGAGCACTGGAAGTTCCTCCATGATGTCTCTTGATCATTGATTTTTTCTGCTTGTGTTGACTCTCTGTTTTTATCCTAATTTCAACCACCAAAATCACAGTCTAAAGTGGCATTGAAAATTGTTTTATAATCTTTTTATACATGATTTGGATGTATTTGGCAATGATTGGTGAGTGTTTTTTGCCATAATCACTATTTTTACATTTTCCTCTTTTTTGGAATTTTTTAAAATGTCCCGAACTGTAAATCAGTTTTTTTTTTTAAATCCTTTTTTCTTTACATTTTTAAGCTTCTTTTAACTTTTAAAATTTGTTTTAGGTTTCAATTTACTTGTACTAGAAGTTTTCTATTTTTTTCAAATTTTTCTATTTTTTCTTTAAATTCTTTTAGGGCCAAAAGGCCCTGTGTTCTGGACTCTAACTCCCCTGGGTCACGGGACGAGTGCCTTGGCTGCGGCGAGTCCTGGCACACCTGGTCTATATAGATCATACCATTTCCTTTAATGCCTAACATTTTCAATGAGGGCATTGGAGGACATTTGGTAGTGGGAAAACTGGAGCTACTGTGAACTTTTTATTTGTTGGCAAATAGACGATCTGATGATTGATGTCATTCCTCTCAATATTTCTATTGCCTTTCATCTCTGTTTTGTCCCAGACAAATGCCATACCATGTTCTGTCTAGAACCATAATACATCACATACACCTCTTACCTATTGGGATTGCTTTGGTTTTTCAAAATATCCAGAATTTTTGTTCTTTCAAACTCATGGTACCCTTATATTGTTGTTGTTTCTGGATTCTCATGGGACAACCATACCCCATCTCCATGGTTTCACTTCCTTTGTTAGTTGACATAGTATATCAGATATGATAATGCTAAGCTTTGATAAAGCTTGATCTGCATCTTAATCTCTCTATCCTTCCCAATCTCATGGTGTCAATTGCTACAACTAAGTGAACTAATTGCAGATCCAGAGTAACTACAAACTTAAGAATCCATCATCAAGCATCAAAACCTCTTTTCAGAGGCAGCCCGATCAACTGAACCGCCATGGACCTCCTCAGAGCTTTCCTGGAAACCACGTCAATGGAGTTGAGGAAGCAGCAGCCTATGCTGCATGCAGAATAGCAGAGGCCGAGTACAGGTTTGAGCTTGCGAATGAGTCCGCCAATGAAGCAGCCTGGATCTCAAAGCTGGCTGAAGAATCCGATGCTCTTCTTCTGCTTGCAAAGAACCTATATAGTCAGTGTAAGGACTGCTTTATAGTCATCTTGCCATTCTTTACTTTCAATGTCAAGAAACTAGGAGACTGCCAGGAGCCTAAGCTTTTCAATGAAGCAAAATTAGAAAGATATGGTTCTTGCTGCTAATATTTTCCTAAATAAAGGTCTTAGAGATAGATGGCGCTTTGTGTTATCATTTTCTTCTCTAGGAGGAAATAGCAATTTTTTCCTTAGTTATGAAAACCGGAATGAATAGTCCAACAGCAAAACCGGTAACCGGACCCTTGTTCGGTCCAACATGAACAATAAACCAGTATTTCTTGAGAATTGGTCAAAACTGGTGGTTGACTGGTTGAACTGGTTTGACTGCCGGTTTTGCAAGTTCTCTTGGATGAACCGGCCTAAATCTTTCCCCTCCCATCTCTCTTGCTATTCTTTGGCATGATTGTCTTTTCCTTATCTTTTCTATTTTGATTGCACATGATATTTTGTCAAAAATCTTTCCAAAATCATTTATCCAAAAGATCTCAAGATTTTGTCAAGAATCGTCAAGGAAGTTTTTTCTTACTTACCATTTTGGCATGCATTCTTCACTTTTTTTCTGCAATTTTTTTTATTTAAAAATAGAAAAAGTTTATATGAGGTTGCAATCTTAAAATGTAGGATTACATATGCACCTCAAAAATCCATCGGAAAAGGTTGATTTAATGTTGAAAAACCCTCTAATTGATCATCTCGACATCGAAATGTATAAATATGAAAGAAAAAACAGATTGAGTCTGTCTATTTTCAATATTTTCATATGTTTATAGATCTGTTTAATTTTAACCATTTTTTTAGTTTAGAATTGTATAATTAGATATGAAAATAGATTTTGAGATAATCCTAAGAATTTTTTCACGAAAATTACATGATAAAATTTGGAGGTGTGCCTTAATTGGATTGTTTAAGGTTGCAACCTTATAGAAACCAAACCCTTTAAAAATTTTATTTTCCTCCCTTTTGAACCACTTGTTTTCTCTCTTTCTCTTTAATGGGGAACAAGGCATACCTAGTTCTTCTTCACTTCAACTTTATAAGTAATGATTTCATAGGTTATATTAATTTTGGCATTAGAATCATGTAATTTCCTAATAAAATCCTCCAATGTTTTTACCAATCTGACAGGTCGCACCGATTTTAAGTGGACTAGTGCCTTCGTTAGTTCGAGCACTAATGGTTTTTCCGTGTTTATTAAGCTGTAATGTGGATTTCCTTTTTCTTCTCAAAGTTAGCGAAGGGTTTGAGCGGGTACTCCACCTGTTTTATTAACGTGGACCTTGTTGTGACAGGTTTGCAGGGTGAGATATCAACTGTGGGTTAGGCTTTAAAGCATTGGTGGTGGTGGCATCTGCTCATTTCCGCCGTGTTTTATTCTACTCTGTAAATTAATGTACTCCTCCCTCCCTCTCTCTCTCTCTCTTGCTCTCTCTCTCGATCTTGGGGCGTTGGAAACAGTTGACCTTTAGTTTTCTGAAAGTTGTGGAATTAAAGCTTAAGGCTTCATTTTCTCTTCAAAGCATGGAATGGTAATAGCTGATTAATCCAAAAAATAAACATTCTTCTCCTATACATAAAATAAGAATCTCCCTCGCTCGCTCTCACTCTCACATATCAGTCTGGTGTAAATGAGTCAGGTTGGGTCCGGGTCAGGACCAATCTGCCAGTTTGAAGGTTGGGCAAGGGCCAAACCTGGACCTAATCGAGTTCGAGTAAATCGGACTGAAAAATATGAGGAAATATAATAATATATTATATATTCCTAATATAAAAGATGAATGCTATTAAGAAAACAATGGGTTGGTTCTGGTCAAGCGACATGACTCTCAGGTCCACAAGTTTAGATTGTGGACCTGACCAGCCTCAAGCTAGAGATGAACCAGGACCCAACTCAGGTGATAGCCCTATCATATCCACACAAGCACACATTCATGGATTTGGCCAGGAAGAAAAGCTAATATTTCTAGGACATTTTGTGTGGGGGAATGAAAAGTGGGTAGCCCACAGTCCTCCAGTAATTTCTTCGTCTGTGGTGATAATGATATTATAATTTTTCAAGAGTCGGGTCTATGTTTAAGCACGAGTTTCACCTAATATAGGTTGTTAAGAATTTTGATGGGAAACATGCGAGCCATTTATTGTGAAAAGAGATGTGAATCTACAAGAGGTCTCACTCTATACCTTCACTCACTATTTAGCCAATTATTGGTTCTAATCCATTTCGGGCAGAATTTCTCGAGCAGTCAAAAACTAACTCTTAAACTATTTGAAAAAACAGGTAAGGTCTTATCTTTCTCAGTAAATTATCAAAAAAAAAAATTTATTGGGGCCAACTAGGGGGCCAACAAGCTGGGCATGGGCCCCTGCGCGGCCCCTCGGAAGACCCGAAAAGACCTGTGAAACATGTCAAGGGCAGGCCCATCTCTTGGCTAGTTGGCCTGGCCTATTAATGGTATGGACAGGAAGGGCTAGGTAGGCCCAGTAGAAATTGAACTCACTTTTTCAAAATTCACAAAAACATAAAACAAAACAGGTGGACCAGACTCAGCCCGGGTCAAGCCTGTTCATCTATCCTCGATTTCAATTATTGGTACAACCCAAATTTGGTAGTTGGGGCCTTTAAGGCAAGGCTGAGGTGCCTGGGCCATTAACCCCTGGCGTGAACCAGGGGCATAGTGCCCTGGCCATTAACCCCTGGCGTGAACCAGGGGCATGGTGCACCCCTGGCGTGAACCAGGGGCATGGTGCCCTACTAAGCAGTATTCGTTGGGTTGTTGAAGAATGTGCAAGCACTGTGGGTGCCAGCATGCAGATATAGGCTTCAGCATCAAATAAAAAAGAGAGGTAAGGGGCCACCTCTTTACTACGAGGGCGTGTTTGATAATAGGAATTTTTTTGGAAGTGCATATGGAACATTTCACTCCTATGTTTGAAAGATGAAACGGCAGTCTTCCATAATGAATGGGAGACTCCCACTGCCATATGGAAATGCAGTCAAGCACGCCCTAAGAGTGAGGGAAGAGAGGAAGTTGGAAGTGTTGTTTTACAACAATAGAGTAGACTGTATATCATTTTAGTATGTGATTTGCATAAAGTTGTAATCTTAAATTATCAAAGTAAGGTACGCCTTCAAATTTTGTCATGAGATGCAATTTGGATGTCAAAAATTTTTAGAATTACCCGAGAATCTCCTTTTATCTCTAATTATAAAATTTTAAACTCCAAAAATGGTTCAAATCAAACAGATCTATAAACACATGAAATTCTTAAAAATGGACAATCCAGATAATAAATTGTAAGATGTACAATTTTTGGGACTTCAAGATTTTGTTTTTTTTTTCTTTCCCCGCATCTTTAGATGGTTTTTCAACATCAAAAGATCATTTTCTTTTCTTTTTTTGATCGAATTTTGAAGTGCACCTTAATTCTACAATACAAGGTGTTAACCTTATATATCCATTGTTTTATTCTTTGAAGATGGTCCCAAACAGGAAGGTCCCTGCCCTTGCGTTTCTTAGAGTGTAGGGTAGCCACATTTCCTAATTTGATTTTGACCTACAAAAAGACAAAACTATATTAAACTATAGAAAGAACTTATATTAAAATAAAACAAAGCAATTAGGGGTCATCTGGATACTTGGAAATACATTTCTATAAATGTTTGTAAGTGGAAATGGTACAGTTCTGGTGTTTGGATCGAAATTGTGGGATTGAAATATATTTCCTTATGTAATTGTTTTCCTTATTTCAAGCAAAAAAATAAAGAAATATGTTTCGCTTTACCCTCCGAAATTGACTTCTAGCCAGACTTCCCTGTTAGGGAGACATCCACTTTATAAAAATACAATTAATTCCACAAAAATATCCCCACAAATTAGATAGAAAAACTATATCAAATTTTATTTTTTAGAGAGAGAAAGTATCTTAATATTTTAGAGTGATAAAGTATTTCTAATTTTAGAGAGGAAAGCTATAAAAAATTTTTATAGAGAGAAACTATCTCAAAGTTTTTATAGAAAGAAACTATTTCACATTTTAAATTTTAGAGAGAAAATAATTTAAAATTTTATAGAAAGAAACTATATCAAATTTTAGAGTGAGAAGTATTAAAACAAAGTTTTAGAGAGAGAGAAACTATTTTAAATTTTAAGTTTTAGATAGAGGAAGGACTTGAAAACTTTTAGAGAGAAATTATTTCAAATTTTTTAGATAGAGAAACTATCTCAAATTTTTTAGAGAGACTATTCCAAATTTTAAGTTTTAGAACGAGAAAATATCTTAAAATTTTAGAGAGAAACTGTGTCAAGTTTTTTAGGGAGACCTAAAAAGTTTTAGAGAGAAAACCTATCTAAAAAATTTTAGAGAGAGAAACTATTTCAAATTTTATGTTTTATAAAGAGAAAATACTTAAAAAAAATTCGAGAGAAACTATATCAAATTTTAAGTTTTAGAGAGAGAAAGTACTTAAAAATTTTAAAGAGACAATCTACCTCAAATTTTAAGTTTTAGATAGAGAAAATATTAAAAAAAATTTGGGGAGAGAAACTCTGTCAAATTTCTAGAGAGATAAACTATCTTAACTTTTAAATTTTAGAGAGAGGAGCTATCTCAAAAATATTGAGAGAGAAACTATTCCAAATTTTAAATTTAAAAAAAAAAAATGCTTGAAAATATTTAGAGAGAGAAACTAGAGAAATTATCTTAAATTTTAAGTTTTAGAGAGAGAAACTACTTCAAAATTTTGAGAGAGAAACTATCTCAAAATATTTAGAAATAAATTATCTCAAATTTTAAGTTTTAGAAAGAATCAATAATTTTTAGAGAGAGAAACTATCTTAAAATTTTTAAAAAGAGAAACTATCTCAAATATTAGTTTTTAGAGAGAAAAGTATCTTAAAATTTTAGAGAGAAACTATCTCAAATTTAAGTTTTAGAGAGATTAAGTACCTGAAAATTTTTAGAAAGAAAATATCTCAAAAATTTTAGAGAGAGAAACTATATCAAAAATTTTAAAGCAAAAAACTATCTCAAATTTAAGTTTTAGAGAGAAAATATTTCAAAATTTTTATAGATAAAATATCTCTACATTTTATAGAGAGAAACTATCTCTACATTTTATAGAGAGAAACTATCCCAAAAATTTTAGAGAATCTTAAAATTTTAGAGAGAAATATATCAAATTTTAAAGAGAGAAACTACTTGAAAATTTGCAGAGAGAGAAATTGTCTCAATTTTTTTTTTGACAAGAGTAAAACAATCTCAAAATTTTTTGAGCGATAAACTATATCAAATTTTAAGTTTTACGGAGAGATAATATCTTAAAATTTTAGAGACGGAAACTACAACAAATTTTAAAGAGACAAACTATTTAAAAAATTTTAAAGAGAAATTATCTCAAATATTTAGAGTGAGAAAGTATCTCAAATTTATTAAAAAAATAACATTATAATGAATAATACAAAAAATTTATCTAATAAAATATTTAACGATAGTTATCAGCTCAAAAAAATTGAAAATATTATGTATCCATGTAGCATCCAAGTATATTGGCCCCATCCCTCGAGCAGAACATGATGAGTCCGTGATGACTCTCAACACTTCCGTCAGCATTGATTTTCCACTAGTGCAAATTAGCTATATGGATCTCAAAAAAGAAAAACTTACTGCATATGCATTATGATTCACTCTTCTGTGCTCATGGAGAAAATGTTTGACATATTAGCTCCTTTTTATCTCAAGTGCCTTCCACGCGGCAGCTATTGTTTTCTTGTAAAGATAGTACAAATATTGTTAAGAATTATATATTATGAGACCATTTATTTTTATACGTCATAACCATTTTTAACTATTGCATATGAAATTCAGATTACGAGATAATGGAGGAGTAGAAGTCATAGATGTTTACTAGGGCGCATCCAATTAACAGCCCTAAGAAGTCATCAAGGAACTGCGATCAAGATAGAAGAGAAGAATGCCCTTCATCCCAAAATGCATCTATGAGTAAACACAACTTGAGAGATACGACATCAAATTCATGGGGACCTAAAATAAGTAGTACAGATTTATTACAATAGGAAAAGTATACAATGAGACCAATTATCTTTGATACAAAATAGTCACAATTAATCTTGACCTTTGGATGTGAAATTGGATGGATGTATTTATTTCATTGACCAAGCTCAAACTTTAAAAGAAATTTTTTCAAACTTTGTAACACACCTAAACTATCAGATTTCATATCGGATGGTTGTAAGTTATTGTGACCAGTAAATGGTCTCATTGTATACAATCTCATTATAATAATTATAAAGCTGATGTTATCTGGACCATGTCAAGTACAACCAAGTATCTTGAAAAGTTGCAAGCCTGTCAAAAGTAACAGACACCAAAACTGCAAGCCGAACTATGTTTTTGTATAATATTGATTCAAACAGCAAGAGATCCATCATTAGTGGCAGTATGAAAATTTATCTGACAAACAATCACCAGATCAGTAACCGGATAGTGATTTCTAAGACTTTGACAAATCAGTAGCCGATCCTGCTACTCCATTCTCTTTCTGTAAGCTCAAGTATATATTTTTATTTTCATCCATTTTATTGTTGCTTCCACTATAACCTTTGGTGTTTTTTTTAAGTATAGACCTTCTTTTTATATAATGTACTTTTTTTTTTTTTTGAGGCAGTTTATATTATGTACAAACTTATAAGAACAAATTAGACATACAGAATTGTATGAACTATCAAGAGATCAAACTTATGGCCATATTATGAAGTTATGAGAGAGAATAATTGAGCCACAACTAAGGTATGAAACGAGTATATCAGAAGATCAATTAGATTTTATGCCTGAGAGGTCAACAATTAAAACTATTTTTCTACTTAGACAACTGATTGAGAAGTTCAGGGAGAAATGAAAAAGCCTCCCCACAGTCTTTATTGATTTAAAGAAAGCTTACGATAGGGTACTTACATATTTAATTCGATAGGTGTTGGAAAGAAAATGAGTTTTCAGAAGCTATATTGATATGGTGAGACACTAACTAGTGTGCAAATAACTAGTAGAGAGACAAGTGAGTTTTTAGTGACAATAGGCCTATATTAGATGTTAGAATTGAGTCAATATCTCTTTGTTTCAGTTATGGACAAGTTAACTAAAAATCTATATGATGAAGTTATGCGGTGTATGTCTTTCGCAGATGACAAAGTTTTAATTGGTGAAATTGGACGTTGCATCGATGCAAAGTTAAAACTTTTGAGGGATGCTCTAGCATCTAAAGATTTTAAAATTAGCCGAACAAAGATGAAATAAACATAATACAAGTTTAGTAATAGTAAGGAGGAAGTAATTAAGATTGATGACCAAAAATACCTAAAAGAGAGAGTACTTTCAATATCTTGGGACAATATCAAGGAAAATAGAGATTCTGAGGAAGATGTCACATATAGAGCTAGGTGGACGAAGTGAAAATATGCAATTAGAATATTATGTAATCGCCGCATACTAATGTAGTTGAAAGGGAGTTCTATAAGACAGTCTTAAGACCAACTTTGCTTTTAGGGATGGGAAGTTGGGCAGTCAAAAAACAACATACCTACCAATACGATGACTGTGGCAGAGATGAGAATGTTGAGATGGATGGATGACGAAAATGTTGAGATGGAGGGGTGACAAGAATTCAGAATGAATGTGATCAAGGGAACTTAGAGGTGACTCTAATAGGAGACAAGATGGGTGAAAGTAGATTTAGGTGAGCTAGACATGTACAGCACATACCCAATACGACACTGATTAGGAGCTGCGATTTAATTCAATTGGAAGGCTCTAAAAAGACGAGAGGGCCCCAAAAAAAAATAAGACTTGTTTTAAAATAGGATGAATGTGCATCCACCAGAAGATGTTGCAGGTCAAGTCAACCCAAGCGAGTTCCATGTAGATTCGCCAATGTTTGAAATCCAGTTCCCATATATGGATATTGCTCTAAATATTTTTTAAAACTAGTCTTGAGATGGGACTCATTAAGCCAATAGCTGTAAACTCACCATATTGGTTGTTTAGTAGCATTTAACATTCAACTGTAAACTCACCATATTGGTTGTCTAGAAGCATTTAACATTCAGCCAATAACTGTAAACTCACCATATTGGTTCTTGAGAAGCATAAATGTATAGTAGGGTCAGTGATCAGACCTAAGTTGACAGAAAGAAGTTTATAAGTATGATATCCAGTCAAATGGATGGATTCAACGACAGGGGTTATACAAAATTGGCAACAAATTCAGGGTTCAAACAAAGAAATATGGTACGTAAAACATTCATATAGATATAGATCTTTAAGGTGTTCTTATAGGACAACTTCTGAGAATGGGCGACGAGGGAAGTAGATGCCAGGGCATGCAGACAACAGCCCGAACACAATTCGCACTTCGCTTGAAGGTGCCCATCTGCAAAGCACACAAGACTCCTAAATTTTTTCAGTTGAACCAAGAACCTTAAAAGACCACTTATTGCAGAAAGTTCATCAGGAAGTCGGAGATACATAAAACATGAAATGAGAGGTGCTTTTCTAATTGACTGATTGACCCAGCGCTCAATAGAACTCTGAAATCAAACCTTGCCAGTTATATTGAATACCAACCTTGTTGGAAGACAAAAAGGGGGTCCGCACCAAAAGATACAAGGTCCTGCAACATACTCTTTCTGACGCACTAAATATGAATAGAGTGAAATTTTTCTAGACATAGACTACTTACGGATCCACAAGGTTTTCCTTGCTCGGTCAGATCTAATACAAGTCTTCCTAAATTAATCAGAAGCTCAACATTCCTATACCAGTAAACTGTCCAAGAAAAAAATCATAATTATGACCAATCAAAATCAAAAGAGCATCCCTTATTAATCTCTCATACTGTCTGCTATGAGTTTGACCATGGGTTTGAAATTAGTGCTGCTAATGATGAAAACTAACAAAGCTAATTGCAGCTTTATATAGAATATACAGGATGGATGAACATTTAGACAATAACATTCACAGTGATATCAAACAGAAAACTATGAAATGCAGGATGATGGAAGATGTACAGAATATGTGAAGGAAACAACATGATCAATAGAGATAGGGATCAAAGGAAAACAAAAGAAAAATATTCCAATTTTGCATGCTCATAAAGAAGAACTATACACAATCAGGTGTAAGAAATATCCAACAACCGTCTCAAGAAAGACTACAGAGAATTTGATCACATATAAAAGTCCTTCACACAAGATAAGATCAAACTGCCAGACAACCATTGTGAGTCAAGCAAACAAACCATCATCCACAAATAAGACATCAAACAACGCATTTTTCCTGGTCCTCTCAATGAAGATAAGTATAAATTCTTTGCCTGGTGCAACTAACTACAAAAGCACGAGCCCTAGCTCAGATGGCCTCAAAGCCTGTCGTATCCAGTAGTTGTACAGATAATAATGAAGCTGACCATCACCAGGCCCGAATTTCAGCTCCTTCAAGAAAGATTCATTATGCATGACATCTAACGCATTGAACACATCATAGTCCTTCTGTTTCGCCACAATGAGAGCATCATTCATCAGCTGGAGCAAAGGAGTCTGAGTAACCACATTGTCGTACGAGGAAGCAGCTTTCGATGTCGAGTAATTTTGGCTGCCAAATATTGAAGAAGGGAGAATGTAGAAGCTGCAAAAGTCAGTGATCTCATGTGTCTCAGGGTTCAAACAAAGAAATATGGTACGTAAAACATTCATATAGATATAGATCTTTAAGGTGTTCTTATAGGACAACTTCTGAGAATGGGCAATGAGGGAAGTAGATGCCAGGGCATGCAGACAACAGCCTGAACACAATTCGCACGTCGCTTGAAGGTGCCCATCTGCAAAGCACACAAGACTCCTAAATTTTTTCAGTTGAACCAAGAACCTTAAAAGACCAACTATTGCAGAAAGTTCATCAGGAAGTCGGAGATACATAAAACATGAAATGAGAGGTGCTTTTCTAATTGACTGATTGACCCAGCGCTCAATAGAACTCTGAAATCAAACCTTGCCAGTTATATTGAATACCAACCTTGTTGGAAGACAAAAAGGGGGTCCGCACCAAAAGATACAAGGTCCTGCAACATACTCTTTCTGACGCACTAAAAATGAATAGAGTGAAATTTTTCTAGACATAGACTACTTACGGATCCACAAGGTTTTCCTTGCTCGGTCAGATCTAATACAAGTCTTCCTAAATTAATCAGAAGCTCAACATTCCTATACCATCAAACTGTCCAAGAAAAAAATCATAATTATGACCAATCAAAAACAAAAGAGCATCCCTTATTAATCTCTCAAACTGTCTGCTATGAGTTTGACCATGGGTTTGAAATTAGTGCTGCTAATGATGAAAACTAACAAAGCTAATTGCAGCTTTATATAGAATATACAGGATGGATGAACATTTAGACAATAACATTCACAGTGATATCAAACAGAAAACTATGAAATGCAGGATGATGGAAGATGTACAGAATATGTGAAGGAAACAACATGATCAATAGAGATAGGGATCAAAGGAAAACAAAAGAAAAATATTCCAATTTTGCATGCTCATAAAGAAGAACTATACACAATCAGGTGTAAGAAATATCCAACAACCGTCTCAAGAAAGACTACAGAGAATTTGATCACATATAAAAGTCCTTCACACAAGAGAAGATCAAACTGCCAGACAACCATTGTGAGTCAAGCAAACAAACCATCATGCACAAATAAGACATCAAACAACACATTTTTCCTGGTCCTCTCAATGAAGATAAGTATAAATTCTTTGCCTGGTACAACTAACTACAAAAGCACGAGCCCTAGCTCAGATTGCCTCAAAGCCTGTCGTATCCAGTAGTTGTACAGATAATAATGAAGCTGACCATCACCAGGCCCGAATTTCAGCTCCTTCAAGAAAGATTCATTATGCATGACATCTAACGCATTGAACACATCATAGTCCTTCTGTTTCGCCACAATGAGAGCATCATTCATCAGCTGGAGCAAAGGAGTCTGAGTAACCACATTGTCGTACGAGGAAGCAGCTTTCGATGTCGAGTAATTTTGGCTGCCAAATATTGAAGAAGGGATGTAGAAGCTGCAAAAGTCAGTGATCTCATGTGTCTCAGGGTTCAAACAAAGAAATATGGTACGTAAAACATTCATATAGATATAGATCTTTAAGGTGTTCTTATAGGACAACTTCTGAGAATGGGTGATGAGGGAAGTAGATGCCAGGGCATGCAGACAACAGCCTGAACACAATTCGCACTTCGCTTGAAGGTGCCCATCTGCAAAGCACACAAGACTCCTAAATTTTTTCAGTTGAACCAAGAACCTTAAAAGACCAACTATTGCAGAAAGTTCATCAGGAAGTCGGAGATACATAAAACATGAAATGAGAGGTGCTTTTCTAATTGACTGATTGACCCAGTGCTCAATAGAACTCTGAAATCAAACCTTGCCAGTTATATTGAATACCAACCTTGTTGGAAGACAAAAAGGGGGTCCGCACCAAAAGATACAAGGTCCTGCAACATACTCTTTCTGACGCACTAAAAATGAATAGAGTGAAATTTTTCTAGACATAGACTACTTACGGATCCACAAGGTTTTCCTTGCTCGGTCAGATCTAATACAAGTCTTCCAAAATTAATCAGAAGCTCAACATTCCTATACCATCAAACTGTCCAAGAAAAAAATCATAATTATGACCAATCAAAAACAAAAGAGCATCCCTTATTAATCTCTCATATTGTCTGCTATGAGTTTGACCATGGGTTTGAAATTAGTGCTGCTAATGATGAAACTAACAAAGCTAATTGCAGCTTTATATAGAATATACAGGATGGATGCACATTTAGACGATAACACTCACAGTGATATCAAACAGAAAACTACAATGATCACATGAAATGCAGGATGATGGAAGATGTACAGAATATGTGAAGGAAACAACATGATCAATAGAGATAGAGATCAAAGAAAAACATTCCAATTTTGCATGCTCATAAAGAAGAACTATACACAATCAGGTGTAAGAAATATCCAACAACCGTCCCAAGAAAGACTACAGAGAATTTGATCACATATAAAAGTCCTTCACACAAGATAAGATCAAACTGCCAGACAACCATTGTGAGTCAAGCAAACAAACCATCATCCACAAATAAGACATCAAACAACGCATTTTTCTTGGTCCTCTCAATGAAGATAAGTATAAATTCTTTGCCTGGTACAACTAACTACAAAAGCACGAGCCCTAGCTCAGATGGCCTCAAAGCCTGTCGTATCCGGTAGTTGTACAGATAATAATGAAGCTGACCATCACCAGGCCCGAATTTCAGCTCCTTCAAGAAAGATTCATTATGCATGACATCTAACGCATTGAACACATCATAGTCCTTCTGTTTCGCCACAATGAGAGCATCATTCATCAGCTGGAGCAAAGGAATCTGAGTAACCACATTGTAGTACGAGTAAGCAGCTTTCAATGTCGAGTAATTTTGGCTGCCAAGTATTGAAGAAGGGAGAATGTAGAAGCTGCAAAAGTCAGTGATCTCAAGTGTCTCAGGGTTCTCAACCAAATAGCTATGAACCACATTCTCCTTTGGAAGCAGCCAATGCTCAACATCATTTTCATCAAAATCTGGTGCCACATCAAACTGAGCCAAGTAGGTACGAAGGAGCAGGGTAACAGTTGGGATATCCCTCAATTCCATGGCCCTAAAACCTAAGGTCACGGTGCTCTCTGGGAGCTTATATAGCTTTATGGTTCGGCTCATCGTCATCCTTGCCCCAAGTCTCGAAAACCCAACTTCTATTAACTTTTTAGGGTTTAGAGACCGGTGCCAATACTGGCAGCTACAAACTGGCGTAGGAAGCACCACTCCAGCAGTATAAGCAGCCTGCCATATATTCTCCAAGTGAACCCTCCTTGTAACTTCCTTGATCATGACAGGAGCAAGCCTCTTAGACCTTAGCTTCTTATGAACGCACAGGAAATTGATCTCAGCCATCTGAACAATCTGGTCTAGAACACGAATCCTAGCAGGGATGCCAGCAATGAAAGCCACGAGCTTGCCAGACCCCTTGACACGAACACCAATATGCCAGCTTGGGAAATAACCAGGGGGGTGGAGGGCCCAAAGCAAAAACTCCTTGGAATAGTTGAATCGGAACATGTTTTCATCATCCTCAACATAGTTGTTAGTGAGGAGGTTGTAGATTTCAGTGCACGTCTCTTCAGAGTTTATGTCGCAGGTGGTCCATTCGTATTGGGAAGGCAAGTTGTAGGGATCTTGGCGTAACTCTTCTAATGGGGTCGGGGCTTCAATAGAGCCTTCAAGGAGCGTGGGGTTGCCGAGATCTTTAAATTGGCCGACTGGTTGGGTCTCCCAAAAGCGGTGCCGCTTCCCTAGGGAGAGCGTGTCTTGCAATTTCTTGACCAAAGGATCGACCTCTGGGATTTGATTCTCATCTGGGTTTTTGTCATTGCTCTCCTCCATTTCTATAGTGAAATTTACACAATTAAGGGCCGTGAGAATTCAGTCTGGGCCAGCAGAGTTATGTCTTGACAGGACTATGTGAGATTAGAAGGGCCTCTGCAAAAATGAGTCCATTGTAATTACCATACAACACCACTTCAGAATATAATATAGATTATTAGGGGCTGTGAGAATTTAATGGTTGTGCAGAATTCATAGAAAATTGAGGCACGCAACTTATGTGTGATCGAATGGTGCTGCTCCAAGCAAAAAGAAAAATGATTTCCATGTTGCATTCTCCCCACCATTATATATAATCTGTGGATGAAATAATTTATTGGAGCATCAGCAAAAATTTTAGCAGATTTTTGAGTCATAGGGCCAATGTGACATCTAATCTGTGGAATAAAAGATGACTTTTATAATGCTCTGCAGCAATTCTATGGTAATATATACATGATTTAGAGATGAGAGAACTTAAAGGGGGCTCCACAAAAAATTTAGCATACTTTGAATGAGCTTATGTACAATTCATGGAGCCTCTAAATGAAAACATATGAGATTTCTAAAGTGCTCCCTGACAGGTTAATGATTAAAAAATACAGCAGTTAGACCTGAAAGAACTCAATGGTGCATGTGTACCGATGTACCGACTTTAGTAGAGCTTTGACACTGAGATATAAACAAAACACTCACATTTGCTTGGGAAACGATTTAGCAAGGTTGTAAGAGGACTTTGTGAGATCTAAACATAATAATTCACAATTACACATGACTTGTTAGGTTTGGTGATAGCTAAATCACCATACCCATATTTTCTTCTAAAGATTAGGGTATTATGGGAAATAAAAAATTGACTTTCTTGGGAAGCAAGAAAGTGATATCTTTATAAAAGAGTGAAAGAGGGCATAAGACATATCCTTTAAGGGTCAACCCTTTGGGGATTATGGGAATGGATCTCCAATATGGAGATGGGTCTCCAAGAGAGAGAGATATGCCCTCTGAGAGATGGGCGGTATTCTCATGAGTTTTGGGTTAGTTAACTTCCACTTCTAGAGAGAGAAAATCTCTATGTTGCTCTCGAAGTTATCTTTCCAGTAGCGGTATTACGGCGGAAAAGAGGATGTTGATCGACGGTATTGCTCGGTCTGAAGAACGGGTTTAGAAAGGATGATTGGTGTTAGTCTTTTACTGATGTTTAGAGATAGGTATTATCTTAACCCAAAGCTGTAATCTTCATTGTGATAGTGGATTTCTAGTTGTCGAGGCCGTAGATGTAGTCCTACAGGGTGAACCACGTAAATCGTGTGTTGTTGTGGCGTGCTTTTTATGTTTGTTTTATTTCTTGCACTCGATTTATAGTTGTATTCATCTATTTCGCATTTGGCCAATTGAGTACACGATCTTAGGTGGGATCCCGGTATTTGGGATTCTCAGTTCCGCAAGTTAGGGGTTCACGAGAACCCTACAATTGGTATCAGAGCACTAGGTGTGTACGGGGCTAAGGTTTATATTAAGAAAAAGAGGAATGACGAAGTTTTATGGATACATAGTTTGAGGTGGAGAAATATGAAGGCAAAGTGTTTGTGAAAATTTCACAATGGAGACAAGTGAGAAGAAATAAAAAAATATCCATGGCTTGAGGTGGAGAAATATGAAGGCAAAGTATTTGTGAAAATTGCACAATAGAGGCAAGTATGAAGAAATCAAAAAATCTATTCAATAAAGGTTGTCAAGGCAACTATGACGAATTTACTATGAAGGTGGAGATTGATGGGTTTGGTGATACCTAAATCACCATACCCATATTTTCTTCTAAAGATTAGGGTATTATCGAAAATAAAAAATTGACTTTCTTGGGAAGCAAGAAAGTGATATCTTTATAAAAGAGTGAAGATGACATAATACTTATCCTTTGAGGGTCAACCCATTGGGGGTTATGGGAATAGATCTCTAATATGGAGATGGGTCTCCAAGAGAAAAAACCATGGCCTTGGAGAGAGGGGCAGTATTCCCATAAGTTTTGGGTTGGTTAACTTCCACTCCTAGAAAGAGAAAATCTCTATATTGTTCTTGAGGTTATCTTTCCAGTAGCGATATTGCGGTGGGAAAGAGGATGTTGATCGACAATATTGCTCGGTCTGGAGAGCGGGTTTAGAAGGGAAGATCGGTGATGGTTATCTCTTGTAACCCAAAACTGTAATCTTCATTGATAGTGGATTTCTAGTCGCCGAGGCCGTGGATGTAGCTCTACAGGGTGAACCACGTAAATTGTGCATTGTTGTGGTGTGCTTTTTATGTTTGCTTTATTTCTCGTACTCGATTTATAGTTGTACTCATCTACTTCACAATTGGCCAATTGCGTACACGATCTTGGGTGGGATCCCGGTATTTGGGATTCCCAGTTCCGCAAGCTAAAGGGGTTCTCGAGATCCCAACATGACTGATGGCTCTTTTAGAAACTCGGTATGTTAAATCTACTAAAGTATCACTTATTTTGTAAATAATGTGGGGAATCAGTCTATGGAAAGAAGATCTGATGGAAAAACATTTCTAATTCAGTTAGCTCAACAAAAAAATTTTAAAAAATGAAGGAGATAAAATAATGCATCCATAAACCCCAAGAAATTTCCCAAAAAATGCAACACGTTCAACAATGACTAAAACAAACTCTTACGATCATATAACTGTAATCCAATCGAAACCAATAAAAAAAAAATTAAAAATAGGGAAAAAAATACAAAATCTTACATATCAGTAAATCCCAATGAATTTTCACTTACATGCAATTTTATGAATCCTAACAGAATTTAGTTCCACATAATAAATAAAACTAAAAATAGAATACAATAGTGCAAGACTTGCTGCATTCAATGTACAAGAGGACCTGTGAGCACAATGGGATATAAAGCAAATCTAATGAATAAAGCAACCAGGAAAGCATCAAGGGAAATTGCTGTAAACATCATAGGCATGGTCTCTCTTCAAGTGAGAGAAGGGAAGAGACAAGCTCACAAATTTGGAACCATATTTGCTTCCCTCAATCACAAACCTACAAGCATGCAAATCACAAAAACAAATTGATAGACTGAACCAGTTATCGCCCATGAATAAAATCACTAACAAATTCTTTCGAATGGATTCCATGGCGCAAACCTCTATAATGCGAAAGTAGAGAGATGGAGAGGGAGATGATGAGTGGGGTTTTCTAACGAAAAGTTAGGGCACATAATACAGAGAGGGACAGAGAGAGCGTAAAGGGGCGTGGATTCGGAGAAAGTGGGGCATGGGTCTTCCACGAAGGAACCGAGACAAATGATTTTGGAGGCAACGAATATATGAGTGAGCACGTATACCATGCTCCTTCAGGAGCACAGTGTACTTCTACTATCTCGGTTAAAATACTTATTTGGGAGGATATTTTTAGGAATGGTATACAATGAAATACGAGGAGGTCACAATTACTTATAAGTATTTGATTTGAAATTTGATAGTTTGGGTGTGTGATAAAGTTAAAAAAAAATTATTTTGAAGTTTGAGTTTGGTCAGTAGAATAATTACAACCACCGAATTTTATATCCAATTGTCAAAATTAATTGTCACTACCCTATACCCAGTATAAATGGTGGCACTATATAATTTTTCTATTTTTATCTTAAAAAAATTTGACATTTTAGTTTTCCAATACCTAAATCTCATTATCTAAAAATTGGTCTCTATTCAATCTGCATATATTATTTTTTCAAATGCATAAAAGTTATAATTAGAAATTTTTTATTATTATTAAAGTTAATCTATGGGTTGAAGAGGTTACATCCCCAATACTTGAGGTCAATAAAATTAATCTCTTGTGAGATTTTATGCCAAAGAGTAAATAGACATTGTTGGAATATATGATCTTTTGGGTATATAGAGCAAATAAGAAAGGGAGGGGGTTTTTGTGTCTTTGGATTTGTTCAAAGCATATCTTTACACGTGGAAATGTAAATTATGCTTTGATAATAATTGTTAATTTTCAGCGATTTCGATCTAAATAGATGGTTAGGATTAATTGTTATTTGAATATGTATATTAAGTTTATGTGCATCTACTCTCTCGTTCAAAACACCTATTTAGAAATGTTTTTTTAGTCTAAAATTTTGGGAACCACATGATAATTACCAGATGATTAATGTCAAAATAAACATTTGAATTTTGAGATCCAGCCCTTCAAAAACTGAACGGTGTTTATCCAATCTTAAGGCTTTTTTTTTTAGTATTACAGAGTTTATTTTGTTTTTTTTTTTTTTTTTTTTACAGAGATTACTCTATGGGTTGTAGAGATTACATCCTTAAGATCTAAAAAATGTTTGTAGCATGTGTTTTGCCTGAGGAGGTGGGTTGTAGAGCTTAGATCCTTAAGATCCAATTTGCTACCTGATGGCTTAAGAAAAATGACAAGGCCTACTAGATCCAATTTGCTAGCACCATGGCCACGAGGTTGCGTGCACCCACATTACCACTAGATATGTATGGAATGGCGCAAAATGTCACTATGATAGAACTATTTGACAAATATATCCCGGATGATTTGCTAATTGAGTGTTGTTGACAATACTCAAAGCGACGAGCAACAAATTCTCATGTGCTTTGATCATTCCCTCCTTTCAATGAACAAATGAAGCAGTATTTATGATGACTAATGTGAACACCGCCATGTTTTATCAATTATCCCAATATAAAAAATTAGAGAATTGATTGCTTCTCTCAAGTGGTAGTGGCTTTGCTATGCTTAATTGTCGAGGCAAGCCTGGGTGATAATAGACCTAAGGACAAGTCAAGGTTCGAGTTAGGGGTGAGAACGGTCGGATTGGGGTTGGCTCCGATCATATTCGGATTGATATTTGAATAGCATACATCGGATCTGGGTTCAAACCGGATCCTAGATCTTTGGATATGGATCCAGATCTGAATAGTAATCATTGGTTCTGGATTCAGATCTTGATCTGAGGAGTATATATCGGATCTGGATCTATATTATACTATTTAAAAAATTTATATATAAGGGACATTATCAGAAACATACCTTACTTTTTTTCTAATTGGAAAAAAACTATTAACATTCATAAACCTCGTCCATACCCTTTTTTTCTCAATTTTAGTGTTTTTTTATTAAAATATCTTTCATGGTAGTCGTATTACCGTGAAGGCTCTATTATTACAGTACTTTAAGTAATGTAATGTTGTAGTCATTATGGTAATACGACTACCGTGAAAGCTATTTTAGTAAAAGAAAATGTCAAAATTGAGGAAAAAGGGTGTGGACGAATTTTATAAAAGTTGATGGTTTTTTTTTTTTCAATTACGCAAAAATTAAGGTATATTTTTGATAATTTCCCTATATATAAAAAAAGAAAATTACTATGTAAAAAAATTGGGTTGGATCCAGATCTGGATCCGAATCGGATCCACCTGCTCCTTTGATCTGATTCAAATTTCAATTCATATTTGAATTTTAGATCCAGATCCGGATTTCGGATACAAAGTTTGGGTCCATACGCGGATCCAAATAGTGTCCAAAATCCGAGTTTCGGATTCGGATTGGGTCAGTTCTTACCCCTAGTTCGAGTTTCTCAAGAGGAAGAGAGAAATGAAGGTTTTGGGCAAGAAGGGAAAGAGCTAGAGAGAAAGCAACGCAAGCACAACACTCCAAGGGACAATTCAACCTTGGCTTGCTCCAAATGGAGAAAATTGGCCACTTTACTCGTGAATGCATTGAACCAAATAACATGACCTATTTATTCATCCATATTTGCTAATATTAGTATTGAGGGGTTATTGATCCAGGTCTATTGTGAATGATATATCCTCTGAATTTGTTTCTCATTAAGATGTCTTTAGAAGGTTTGTACAAATTTGCAATTTATTCTCTCACACAATGTGGTGTGGTTGTTATTTAGTTAGTTTTGGCAAGTGGTGGCCGTTATTCATCTCTCTAGTTTTCTTACGGGAATGATCTTGTGTGTCTATTTTTTTTTTTTTCTATCCCTCCCATGTATGCATGCATAACTCTAAATTGTGTGCAGGAGCCAGTATGAACATTTCTTCCCCTCTGTAACTTTTAACTATTGCAAAATCATTATGATTGCAAAGCTGTGCTTCTCTTGCTTTAATAAATTGATGAAGAGACCTCTTTGTATATCTTATGATAAACAAAAGCATTAAAAAAACATTGTTTGATTTTATCTGATGTCCAAAGAACCAAATATCATCAATTGTTGATGAAATTGGATGGAGCGTGTATAAGACAAAACCCAAGATCAGAGAAGAGGTGTCATGAGGCTGGTGATTAAAGAGCTTGGATTTTGATCCCTTCACTTTGTCAAGAGAGAAGAACTATACGCCTTTTCCTTGGTGTTTTGCATCATCTCTCTGGCTTCCCATTTTATAGGGAGAAGAAGGGGTAACTATTGTATTTCTCCAACGGGTCTCTGAGAAAAACGAAGGGGTTTTTTGATCTCAGGGATATCCAACATTCATATGGACGTTGGACCATATGACCGTTGGATATATTGGATTCTCACATTGTAGGCTAAGGCACGTAAGGCTTCATAGCCATATGTGTCAATATCTCCTACTTGGCTATGACAGCCAAGTATAATAAGTCACATGTATACTCCCACTTTTGAGTATAACTTTTAAGAAAATATCTTGTCATGAGATTTTTCTCACGTTTTTGCAGATATGCCTCTCATAACAAACGTCTATCATGAGGATTTTTACGCTAATGCAGATTTGTCACTCATGAAAGTTGACTAACTTAAATATTTTTAAGTCCCATTAAGCGAGTGTGCTTAGACAGTAGACCTTTTGTTAATGAATCAGTGATCACATTTGATGAGATCAAGTAACTAACAGTTACTTCACATTTCTCAACTACATCCTGAATCTAGTGATATTGGACGTCTATATATCTTCCTTTGGAGCTATTTGCTCCACTTTGAATTAATTTAATTGTAGCTTGATTATTACAAAATATTTGGATCAGTCCGTCAATTATTTGCAGCTTCAGATCATCTATGAAGCGCTTTATTCAGACGGAAAAAGCACAAGCAGTGCTATATGTAATGTATTAAGCTTCATGTGTGTACCTAGCTACACACCTTTATTTTTTGCTAGACCAAGAAACAACTGCCCCTCCAAAGAGGAAAATATATCCTGAGTGAATTTACTATCGTCCTTCTCCCTAGCAAAATT